TAAGAAAGGAAAACAACCCAAAAATTGGTCGAAGCTAGGACCTAAAGGTGGAATTTCCAGAAGGAGAAATTCCAAGAGAAGTTCTTTAATTGTGGAAATATGGGGAACAAATCCTTTGAGTGCAGACATCCAACGAAAGCTAAATCTCACGAGGCTAATGCTACGGAAAAAATAGATAAGGATATGGAGGATATAGATATATGCGATGTGATCTCTGAAGTCAACCTGGTTGACTCTAATCCAAGAGAATGGTGGCTTGATACTGGAGCCATGTGTCATATTTATTGCAACAATGACTCTTTTTCTGAATTGACACCTTGTAACAATGGGGAGAAGCTCTACATGGACAACGCTGAGACTTCTAAAATCAAAGTTAAGGATACTGTAGTCTTGAAGATGACTTTTAGCAAAGAGCTCAAGCTACAAAATGTGTTGTATGTACCCGCCATATAGAAAAACCTTGTTTTTTGAACACTCCTAAGTGTTTACAGCTTTAGAATGATGTTTGAATCCCAAAAGCTGATTTTGTCTAAAGGGGGAATGTTTGTGGGTAGAGGATATGTATTGAATGATATGTGGAAACTCAATGTTATATCTATAAAAGCCAAAAGTATGAATAAGAATAATATTTTTCTTCCGTTTATATGCTTGAGTCATTTAATTTCTGACATGGTAGGCTTAGACATGTTAATTATGATGCTTTGCGGAGTTTAATTAACTTATAACACATTCCTTCATTACATATTAATTATATTCATAAATGTTAAACATGTGTTGAGGCAAAATTAATTAGGTCGTCTTTTTAAATTATTGAAAGAAATATCAAACCATTTGATTTAATTCACAGTGACGTTTGTGACTTAAAATTTCTTCAAACGAGATGAGAGAATAAATATTTTATTACTTTCACTCACAATAGCAGAAACTATTGCTATGTATATTTTCTTAAGAGAAAATATGAACCTATAGAGAAATTTATACTCTATAAGAAGAAAGTCGAAAACTAACTTAATAAAAGATTAAGGTGGTAAAAAGTGATAGTGGTGGTGAATATGTTGAACCATTCAGTGAATTTTTCTCACAACATGGTATTATCCACAAAGGAACACCGTCATATTCTCCTCAATCAAATAGAGTAGTTGAGCAAAAAAAATCAGACTCTAAAAGAAATGATGAATGCCTTGTTAGATTTAAAAAAATTGAATGTCTTATTATGCAGTTCTGGGTTATCGTAGAATATGTGAAGGGAAGCTATCCTTTTAGCTAATTATCTTCGAAATAAGGTACTTTGAAAAGAAAAAAGATAAAACACCATATGAATTGTTGAAAGGTCAAAAACTTTCCTATAAACATTTAAAAATGTAGGGTGTCTTGCCAAGGTAATGACCCCATTACTTGCCAAGGTAATGAGCTCATTACCAAAGCAAATGAAAACAAGTCCTAAAACTATGGATTGCATTTTCATTGGCTATGCATATCATAGCAATGCATATTTATTTCTTGTGTATGAATCAAAGAATCCTAAGATTCACAAGAACACGATAATGGAATCAAACAATGCACCATTCATTGAAAATATTTTCCCTTATAAATATAAGTAGGTTGATCAAAGTTCAATAAAATGAACTTTAGAGACTAGCAATGAAGATAGTCTAGATGATTAATAAGAGGCTAAAACTACAATAGAGCCAAGAAGGAGCAAATGAGCAAGGGTGGAAAAATCCTTTAGACTAGACTTCCTAACCTTTATGTTGGAGGCTGAATCTTAAACGTATAGTAATACTATACGGTCCTCTGAAGGCACCTTATGGAGGGAGCCATTAAGAACAAAATAGATTTCATCACTATACGTGGGAATTAATGGATTTCCTTTGGGTCTAAATGGATTTTCAAACAAAAAATGAAAGTTGATGGAACAATTAATAAGTACAAGGCTAGATTGGAAATAAAAGGGTATTGACAAAAGGAAGGACTTGACTACTTTGATATATACTCTCTTGTATAAAAAATAAAATCCATACGAATGATACTTACAATTAACGCTTTGCAAAATCTAAAAGCACATCAAATGGATGTTAAAACAACTTTATTAAATGGGGACCTTGACGAAGAAATATACATGGAACAACCTGATGGTCATGTAGTTCTAGTTCAAGAAAAGAAAGTCTATATGTTGATGAAGTCTTTGTATGGACATAAATAATAACCAAAATAGTGATATGAGAAGTTTGATAGTGTCATGATGACAAACGACTTCAAGATAAATGAGTGTGACAAGTGTGTATATGTCAAAACTACAAACACTAGATATGTTATTATATGCTTGTATGTTGACGACATAATCATTGTTGGAAGTAACAATGAAATGGTAAAATATACCAAAGACATGTTAAATTCAAGATTTGACATGAAAGATATGGGATTTCCCAATACGATTGTGGGCATCCAAATTAAAAGGTAATCTTAAGGCCTCATACAAACTCAGTCACACTATGTGGATAAGATTCTTGAGAAATTTAACAAGGATGATTCTAGTATAGTCATAACTCCAATAGACTCTTGTTCACATTTGTCTAAAAATCTAGGTGAAAATGTTCACTAGGTGGAATATGCAAGGGTCATCGGCAACCTAATGTATCTTATGAGTTGTACGAGACCAGACATCACTTTTACTGTGAGCATTCTAAGCAGATTCACGAGAAATCCAGGTGAAAATCACTAAAAATATATAACGATTATAGTGAGATATCTTAGATATACCAGGGATTGTGGGTACATTGTTTCAGAGATCTTGCTATCTTAGAAGGGTACTCCGATTCGTTGGATATATGATATTCAAGATAGCAAAGGTATAAGTGGATATGTATTCACTTGAGGAGAAGAAGTTGTGTCTTGGAAATCCTCAAGACAAATGATTATAATTGGATCCACAATGAAATATGAGTACCCATATTTTTGATAAAATATATAATAAATACCTTTTTAAATTTGAAATATTTTAAAGGAATAATTATTATACTAATATTCAAATTAAAGAATATCTTTTAATTTGTATTATTTAAAAGGAATATGATTTTAATATAAATATTAAATCCATCAATGTAATTCACCATTTTTCTAACAATTCTCCACATGAATGAAATTGATAATTTTATCAAAAACATTTGGACACGATGTAGTGAAAGCCTCTACGATCGACAGCTGCATATGATAGGTAGTTGTAATCCATTGAACCTTCCCTTGTGGTGATATATTTACTATACTGGCTAAACAGTAGATGCGATGTCCTTGAATTGTTATGTTGTTTGTATAAACGATGAAATACTTCACACAACTTCCCCTCTGACAAGAATTTAGTTCTCATGGGTATGTCCTTAAAGCCATGGACATCGCCTGGTTCTGTAAGAGTTTGAAAGAACTATGCCCAATATTCTCCTTGAAGAAGACCAACTTCACTCTCACATAGGTGACCGAAACACACAATGGTCATTAAAAGCTTTACCTAGCCTATACCACTTTGATCACTATTTACATCATAAGAATGAACTTGGGATAAGAAACAACCTCAATGATCGTACACGGTTGATGTAATTAGGTTATCCCTTTGAACCTAGATCTTAGGATCTCCAATCAACAAGGTAGGGTTTTCCTTCACATAAAGCCTTTAAATTCCATGGGCTTTAGTCTCATTCCTTTAGCTATTTTCTAAACTTGATCTTGATTTAGACCTTTGACTAGTGGATCCTCAATGTTATACTTTGATCTTACAAAATCAATAGAGATAACTCCATATGAGATTAATTGTCTAATAGTATTGTGTCGACGACACATATATCTCGATTTATCATTATTAATGAAATTTTGTACTCTAGAAATTGTTGTTTAGTTGTCATAATATTTGCATACTATGGGTATTGGTTTCGGCCATTTTGGAATATCCTCAAGAAAGTTATGAATCCATTCTACTTCTTTTCCAGATTTGTCTTAGAAAAGTATAAGTGATAGTAAATATATCACCACAAGGGAAGGTTCAAAGGATTACACCTACCTACCCTATGCAACTGTCGATTGTAGAGGCTTTCACTACATCGTGTCCATATGTTTTTGATAAAATTATCAATTCCATTCATGTGGAGAATTGTTAGAAAAAATGGTGAATTGTATTAATGGATTTAATATTTTTATTAAAAATCATATTCCTTTTAAATATTACAAATTAAAAGATATTCTTTAATTTGAATATTAGTAGAATAATTATTCTTTTAAAATATGTCAAATTTAAAAAGGTATTTATTATATATTTAACTTTGACTATTAAAAGATAATTGTATATTTTTGAATATTTTAAATTAAAATAATATCTATTTAAGTTTGGATAATAAAAAAAGTTTATATCTTTTGAATATTTCAAATTAAAAGATATTATTATCTGTTTAAATTTGGATATTAAAAGATATTTGGTTGGAGTAAATATCTCTTGAAAATCTTGTATAAATACTGAGCTAACCTGCTAAGTTTTTAATATCTTAGAACTCATTCTATTTTCTTCAAAAAAATATTTTATCTCCTTCTTAGTTTTCCGGTGATAGGCGAAAAAAAATATTTTCGATCAAAAGATAAAAAATAGAAGAGTATTTTATTTATTTATTTTTTTAATAAATTAATTTCTTCTATTTTATTTATCTCAGGTTCGATTTCGTCTCATATTATTATATTGAATAACACGGTGCTCGCCAACTCTTATGCTTGCTCGTCTCGTGGTCATATCAAACAAATCAAAAATAATCTCAAAAACATTTCCAATGCTTCCCAAACTATTACCGATTATATGCAAGTTGTTAAAACCAAAGCTGATGAGTTTGCACTCTTGGTAAACCTTTAGATGCAAAGGATCTTATTGAAAAAGTTATAGAAGGCCTTGATAAACCTTCCAACCGGTTATTGATGCTGTTTCTATGTCTTTGTCCGTTCCGCTCTTCCTACAGTAGATTCAGATGATCTCCTGTTTGTTTACAATTTGATAGCTACTGAAGACAGGGTTATCGCTCGAACCGTCTGGTTTTCTTCGCTCCATTTTTTTTTTTGTAAGAAAAACCACTGAGGTCAGTGGGAGTTCCTTCTCCTCAGCGACACGTGATCGGGGCTGAGAGAGCTTTGATTCCATGCGGTGGCACGTCCAGCTCAGTAAGTCCGAGAGTTCCTCCTCTGCCCATCCTGGCGATCTTATCAGCCAGGCTGTTTGCTTCGCGTGGGACATATCTCACATGGACTCTCCAGCTTTGCTCCACTTTTTTATTGTCCGTGTTTAAAAAAAATTGATGTAATACATATTTGAATAGAATTTAGCTGATCTATATTCTTATAATTATTATAATTAGTAGTATATATAAACCTATACCAAATCAACGTGTTTTAATCCCAATCAATTTTGGGTTTCAGCCACAAAAATAACGAAATAAAGTAATTTATGTTGGGTGCACGGATGCTCCACCGTATGCTACGTGAATTTGTTTCGTTATTCTAAAAGTGCATCCCTTGATCTGTCTTATGTGATCAAATGGTTCTCACTTTATCTTCTATAGGAATTATCCCAACTTGGGGATTGATTGTTTTTTCTAACTTGTCCTTGTCATACCAGATATGCATTGTAACATTTTCATCTCGGCTATACTCATCTTTTGTATATGTTTCTTCTTGTTAATCCAACATTCTGTGCCTTATAGCAATGCAATTATAATAGCTGTCCTATAAAACACTCACTCCAAACTCAAAGGTTTTTCTCATATTAGATCATAAGTTTAACAGCAAATGTATTTTAGTGTATAAATATGAATAATTTGATGTTCCTAAGTTTCTTGATGTCAATCCTTATTAGTACTATGTACATTCTATAATAGGAAAGTTCTAAGGGAGACATCTGGTGGAAGAGATGCAGAGCGTGTTGCCCTGAAGTTGGAAATTAAAGTCGAGGTAAATTGATTTGTACTTTTTTGGTCATGATTAAGTTTTAAATCCTTCAAACAGGAAAAATTTTCTTAAGCTGTATTTAATTATGAACAGTTGATTCTGATATTGTCATATTTCTTTAGGCGATAGATTTTGACAAAGAAGGAGCAGTCTTGCGTATAAAGGGGAAGAACACCTCGGAGAACGAACATGTTACGGTAGGTGTACCATAGAATGTTGTCTCTTCTTTAATATTTTTTATTGCTTTTAAATGCAAATTCATTGTCTTGTTGCAGATAGGGGCATTCCATACTCTCCAACTTCAGCTTCATCGACCTTTTGTGTTAGCAAAGGTAGCTATCATTTTTGGAATTATCTCTGTCCTTTCTTGTTTGTCGACTAGCCTTGGGTGCTATATCTGTGCAATGTACAAATTGTATGCTTTTAGGTGTCTCTTTCATACTAGAGTAAGCAAACTTGTATTCTTGATAGTTGTGAATATCACTCTAGTTGTTTCAATTCATCTGCACACATATTCCTGTCTGGTTAAAGAATCTTTGATTCGGCATAAACTTTACTTTGTTTACTTTCTCTACATGTTTTTGGATTTTTAGAGCTATGCCATGTGCTGACATTGTGGTTAGTTAAGAGATGTGATAAGTGATTTATTTAGCTATTATTTTGCTTTTAAATTGCTTTGTAATCATTGGTTTTGTGGTTTATTTGTTCGTTTTGATTCATTTTCTGTGCAGGATGCTAGATTCTGGAAATTGCACTAAAAGGACAGAATTCTGTAGTTTTTTATTTTCAGAATTAAAGATGGATTAATGGGCATGACTTTCGGCATGAAATATCGGACGAGGCGATGACGTCAGTACCTTCTAGAAAGTCCAGTCAACGCTTCTGAAGAACGAATGGATCAGCCGCACGTTTCTGCAATTCAGATTTGAATTAAACTCATGGTTTAGGATATTATTTTAAATATTTTATTTTATCTTTGTTTTCGGTATTTTAGTTTAAATAGTTTTAAGTATTTTTATTAGAATTTATTTTATTATTTTAGAAATTATCTTTAGCATGTTTTTAGGATTTTTAAGGCTATAAATACCCTCTCAGGGTAAGCCTAGAAACATATCTCTCAACAACTGAGAATTTACTCTTCTACTTCTCTCTAGCTTTATAAAATTTTCTCTTATATTTTCTTTTTACTCTTTCGCAATTTTAATTTTTATTTCAAGTTTTTTTTAAATATGCTAAATATGACTTTGGTCATGGTTAGCTAATTTTCTTTTAAGCCGAAGGCTAAAGCGAAAGCTTAATTCTAAACGTGAGAATTGTAATGAACTTAAATCGATTCGGATTTTTCTCTCTTTTTTTTGGCTTATTTTCAAATAAAAACGATTTTCAAAACCAAAAGTTGGCGTTGGTCTAGATGTTGTTATGGTTAACGTGGGAAGGAGAATCGGCTTATTGAAGCACATTCAACTTCTTGTGAACGCACGTAATAAAATTGTTTGCTAAGAGGAAACTGAGATCGGAATCAGTTATTGTTAAAACAACATAATCTGATTCGGCAACTTCTTAAACTTCAACGTTTTAAAGATCTACAACATTTTTATTGCTTAGATCAACTCACCAATTGAAATTTAGGAGTGCACTTGGATATTCGATATACAAAACATAGTCACAATGAATTATCCTTGTAGACAAGTAGCCGACGTGGATCTTGAAGTAAAGATCTATTTCGATGATTTGAGGAATTTGAGGCAAAGCTGAAGTCTGAAGTTGTTTTTATCATAAGTTTTCTTTATCTCAATTTATTTTATTTATTTATTTGTTTATTTAATCTTTATCTCATATTATTTCTTTAAACAATTTAAAACTCCCCCTTTTTATCTTTTAATTATACTTATTTTTTTTATATTTTTATCTTTATCTCAAATTCTTTCTTTTTCTAAATCAAAAAAGTCCACTAAATCAGAAACATCAGAGTCCCTGTGGATCGACCATGTTTCTCTATTCTACTCTCACTTTTTACTTATTAAGAAGCTTGAATTATTTTGATAGCAAAATGACAGTTATTAAATTGGCGTCGTTGCTGGGGACTAACGTCTAGTATTGATTTATTTTTCTTTGTTTTTTTTTATTTATGACCAGAAGAAACCCATGTGAATTAGTAGATCTTGACCCGGAGATCGAAGCACGAGCACAAAGAATCCACACACAAACGCTTCGAAAAAAAGAAAGAGACGAGAAGAGAACAGTTCAGAAATAAAATCAAATCCAGAAACAAACTCCGAAGCAGACACATATAGAGAATATCAAATCTCGATGATAGAAGAATAACAAACGATCCAAGAGCTAGCCGCAACTCCTGTCACTCAGAAGCCATTATGCATCATTTTTTCTAATGGCGGGACTCCATTTCAGTTAAAAACATAACTTATTCATCTTCTTCCCACTTTCTACGGCCTCCCCACTGAAGATCCGCACAAACACTTGTTGGAATTTCACATGGTTCGCACTAGCATGAAACCACATGGAGTTACCGAAGATCAAATTAAATTGAGGGCTGACATGAGTTGAATTTTTCTTGACAGGTTCTTCCCAACAGCTAAAGCAAGCGAGTTACAAATGAGCATTCTTTCCATTTGACAAAATAGTGAAGAAAGTCTTTATGACTATTGGGAACGATTTAAAAAGCTTTGTGCATGTTGTCTGTAACATGGATTAAGCGATCAAACGTTTCTTCGATAATTTTATGAAAGTCTTTTTCCAATGGAAATGAAAATGGTAGATGCCGCCAGCGGAGGAGCATTAGTCAACATGACCCGATCAACAGCGAGAGAATTAATTTCAAACATGGCAGCCAACTCTCAACAGTTTTCAAGTGAACCCAGCCGACGGGTTCACGAGATAAGTACATTTTCCATTGAAAATAAATTAGATAAATTAACTGAAGTAGTTAATTCACTTGTTGCAGAGAAATTTGGAGTAACAAAGGTATGTGGGATATGCATTAAGCTAGACCATCCAACGGACTACTGCTCGATGATACAAGAAGAAGGCAATGTAGAAATCAATGTCGTAGGAAACTTTCCAGGTCCTCCACAGAGACCATACAACCCATATAGCAATACTTATAATCCGAGAATGCGAGATCACCCAAAATTCAGCTATGCGGTGAATCAAAGGCCAACTTATCAACCAAGACATCCTCCTCAACAACAAATGCAAAAGCCATTATTGGAGGAAATCATAGGAAAGTTAGCAAATTCACAAGAAAAATGGTTACATCCCAGGAAAAGCTAGTTGCATCATAGGAAAAATTCCAAAGACGAACCGAGATACATCTTTAAGAATTAGATACCCAAGTGAGTCGACTAGCTCAGAATGTGGGGAAGTTGGAATCACAAGGAAGACTACCTTCTCAAACGGAATTAAAACTGAGAGAGAATGTTAGTACCATCACACTCTGAAGTGGAACAATCATCTCACCCAAAGTTCCAGCAGAAAAAGCCGCACATCAAGAAGAACAAGAAGAAAAACCACCTCAAAAAATACAAGGTACATCTGACGCACATCCTCCTCAAGAAATCACGCCACCACCCTTCTCATCAATGTTGATAAAGTGTGATAAAAGAGCTAAAGAAAGGGAGATCTTAGAGCTGTTCTAGAAAGTTCAAGTTAACATACCTCTTCTTCAAGTAATTCAACAAGTACCAATGTATACTCGATTTTTAAAAGAACTTTGCACTACAAAGAGGAAATTAATAGGGCATGAAAAGGTAAATTTGGGAGAACATGTTTCCGTAATTTTTCAACGAAAGCTCCCACCAAAGAATAAGGATCAAGGTATATTTGCCATACATTGTAAAATCGGTAATTTTAAAATTAAACGTGCAATGTGTGCCTTAGGGGCTTCTATCAACGTTATGCCATTTTCTATTTATAAAATGATTACTAACGAGCCTTTGAAGGAAACATGAATAACCATACAGTTGGTTGATCGGTCAGTGATTTATTCAGTGGGAGTGATGGAAAATGTCTTAGTAAATGTCGATGTATTATTTTTCCTACAGATTTCTATGTCATTGACATGGAACATGATTGGTCGGATTCTTATTCTGAAGTACTCTTAGGCCGACCCTTTCTAAGCACCGCACATACAAAGATCGATGTTAGAAGTGGTATACTGACAATGGATTTCGATGGTGAGATCGTTAAATTTGATATTTACAAAGCAATTAAATATTTGGATCGTGTTGAAAGAATTAATTATGTTGATGTTATAGATCATTTAATTGATGAGTATATTGAATCTAATTTTTCTTATAATCTCTCCAAGGATCCTGAACTTTGCCACAACGAGGAAGAAAGGGAGTTCGAAAATATTCATTCAATCAATTCTGATTTATCTTTACCTTCCTCGAAAACTAAAATTTTACCTTCTGTTTTGTAGACACCTAAGGTAGAATTAAAACAGTTACTGAAACATTTGAAATATACATTTTTAGGCAAAAATAGAACTTTACTGGTGATAATCTCAAGTAAATTATCTGAAGGAGAAGAGGAAGCTTTGGTAACGGTGTTGCGTTCTCACAAAGAAGCCATGGGATGAACCATTGCCGACATTAAAGGAATAAGTCCCCGGACTTGCATGCACAAGATCAAAGTCGAAGAAGGAGCAAAGCCATCACGAGAAGGACAAAACTGATTAAATCCACCAATGATGGAAGTGGTAAAGAAGGAAATTTAGAAACTCCTTGATGCTGACGTAATCTATCTGTATCAGATAGTAATTGGGTAAGTCAAATTCATGTGGTTCCTAAGAAAACGAGAGTCATAGTGGTTGAAAATCAAGAATGGGAGTTAGTACCAACAAGAATTCAAAATGGATGGCGAGTTTGTATTGATTACAGGAAGTTGAACTCTCTTACTCGGAAAGATCATTTTTATCTTCCTTTTATATACCAAATGATTGAAAAATTAGCTGGGAAAACTCATTATTGTT